AAACATCTGCTTTAACCTATCTTAGACCCTTATAAAAAGCCTGTGTGTGTGTGTGTGTGTGTGTAAGAGATGTTTGCTGCATCTCTTATTAAGTTCTGGGTGGCTTGAACAGTCATCTCCATCACAGTTTGAATTCAGTTAGTAGTCTCTGGATGACTGCTTACCTTTGCATTCAATCCAATTTATCCACTCCCTTTGTATTAGAGTATACTGAGTTGGGATTTAGTACCAAAAGCAATTGTTATTTGGTATTGATTCTGACATCTGATTACCTTTTCAAATAATGCTAGATGCAGATGATCATTTAAAAACTTAGTTCACCCCCCAAAAAATGAAAATTAGACCGCATACAAAGGATGTGTGTATATATGATTTTCTTTCTATTGAATCTCCTGGCTCTTTTAATGTACATCTCTACAATGGCAAGGAGTGGCTGTTTTTCTTCAACAGTCCAAAACAAGTCCATTAAAGCACGTCCATCCATAATAAAAAAGTGCCTCGCACAGCTTCAGGGGGGTGAATAAAAGTCTCCTGTAGCGAATCAGTGAATTTTTGCAAGAAAAATATTCCGATTTTAAACAGTTATGTGAAACTTCTGCTATCTGTCATACATGCGTTCATGGGAGACTAACTTTCTATTTGCAAGGCAATGCAAGATTATTTATATAGCACATTTCATACACAATGCTAATTCAAAGTGCTTAACATATAGTAAACAAGAATAAAAGAAACAACTATAAGAAATAAAACAACAAAAAATGAAAATTATTATAAACCGATAAGACATGGAACATATTAGTGCATGCACCATTGCATTTGCCTAAATGCATTTGTCAGGCCCCCTTGTTTTTCGTGATTCTGCGAATGCTGAATCCAATGCAAAACCAACAAAAAGTTGCAAATTTTTGCGACCCTGCAAACTTCTCAATTTAAACGTAAAATAATTGCAAAAAAAAAGTACATAATCTCATAAAACAACCTATTTTAGATTTATTTCAGTTTGCAGTTAATTATTTTACATGACTCGTAAACGTTGCATACGCAGCGCATGTGATGTATTTGAGTTTCTTTTGTAAAATTACGTCTCACCTGCGCCCTCACAATTATTACATTACATGGAATGGGGGGTGGATGCGTGGTGGGACGTTTCATGTGAAATCAATGCAAAGATGGGATTAGACATCCTGTGACGAGAATCCTGTGTGCATTTGATGCGCTTAAGACTGCAAAAGCAAACATCTAACAAACGGGGCAATGGAACGGGGCAAACAGATGGAGATTGGTTCATGGATGATGGCCAAAATTGAAGGACATTATTTGTGCTTTACATTTATAGCTGGTATTATTATGTGCGTCAAATCAATAAATTATTTCGTTTAACTCTTTCCCTGTAGTTGACAAGAGAAAACGCTTCTCTGCCACTGACGAGTTTTACGGCAATCTGTGTTTTAGGTGTACTAGAGTAGGGGAAGCCCTAGTGCTTGTCCTATGTGTGAAGTACATTGTCAAATGCACCAGGAGTCAATTTGAGAGAAAGTAAGATCATGGATAAAAATAAGAGTTATACAAACTTCCTTCAGCTTAATCTCTACCCTTTTAGATTAGTTTTGGGTCTTGTCTTGACAAGTGACCAAAATAAAGAAGCTTTATTTTAATGATTTGTGTCATTGTTGATGTGTCCGATTTCACATCTAACATAGTAGGCTACCTAATAAGGGTAAATAAGATAAAAAAAAAAAACTAGGATGTCAGATTTGTTGATTACAGTTGTTTTAGACTGTTGAAGAGAAGTACCCTCATTACTATTGTAGAAGAAAGTCACTTACACCTAGTATGCCTTGAGGGTATAAGTTAAACCTGGTTTAATTTTTATTTTTGAGTCACCTAAGCAGGTTTTCAGCCATTTGTTTACTGACACCTTGATTGGAAATGAAAGGATAGTTATGTACTTACATGTGGCTTAAAGTGAACACTTCCCAAGTGGCAAAATAGTCCACAACCTGTTGCCAAGTATTTGAAACTTTGTTACTCACCAATTTATTTCTTTTCTATTTTATTTTTCTGATTAATTCAATATGGACACTATCTGTAAACTGCAGTGCTGTAATGTTTTGGTCTGAGCAGCTTGTGAGGGTTTTTAGAGTCTCTGGGAGGCTCATTTTGGCAGTAAATTATCCACATGAACTCTTATCTCTGCAAGTGCTGAGTCGCTAATAACCTGCATTTGAAAATGCAACAAGCACCAGACATCTTCCCAGGGAATGAATATTATTTATAAATCAGCTGTGAACAAAAGAGAAGTGTTTCAAAAGAGAAGTATTTCTGTGGTTTTAGTTTTGGGCCATGCATGTACATTTTAACTTTATTATATTAATATGTTTGGAATTTAAATATGAGAGGGACAAGAAATTGTTTGGCAGAATCTTTGCAGCTTATCTTTTAGCTTTTGTTTTGAAGCAATATTTTAGGTTTTTAGCTTATTATTTTACTTAATTAGATGAAATCAAGCAATAATTGATTAATGTTCATGCTAATTGATGATTTTTTTATATTAAAATATTTTTAATATTTGTGATGGCTTTCTTTCTCTCTCTCTCTCTCTCTCTCTCTCTCTCTCTCTCTTTCTTTCTCGCTTTCTTTTTTTCTTTCTTTCTTTCTTTCTTTCTTTCTTTCTTTTCTTTCTTTCTTTTTTCTCTTTCTTTCTTTCTTTCTTTCTTTCTCTTTCTCTCTTTCTTTTTTCTCTTTCTTTCTTTTCTTTTCTTTCTTTCTTTCTTTCTTTCTTTCTCTCTTTCTTTCTTTCTCTCTTTCTTTTTTCTCTTTCTTTCTTTCTTTCTTTCTTTCTTTCTTTTTCTTACTTTTACATCACTTTTGAATTTCACTGTCCCTCAAAAAAGTCTTTCCTTTTGTTGCATGAAAAAAAGAACCAGAAAGAACATCATGGCATTTATTATCTACGATGATCGGATCTTGCGGAAAGAATTGGATATTGTACAGACGAGACATGACCAGAAAGGACAAAGAGAAATTGGCAAAGAAACTTCATTTTCAATAACTGAGACGCTGTACATGCTAACTTGAAAGCGAATGCAGGCTAGTCCATCTAAATGATAAAAGCATGTCCTTGAAAAGCAGTGGAATTGCAAGTCCTTAGAAATAGTGGCCACACTGTGAAATTGGACTTCATCCATGCCTTTGTTTGTGAAAGGGCATTTTCACCAGCAGATTCCAGACTATAAGGCCCTACAGCATCAGTGGTCAGTGGTGTAAGAATTAACAATCACTAGCCACCTCACGCACCTATAAATCAAAGAATAATCTTGGAGTTAATGTTTTAAGGCTATTACTTGGGTAACAGGTGCTTGAAATGTTTTTTTTTTTTTTCGTCACACTCAAAAAAAGATTTTTGCTGTTTGTTCACTTATTTAAAATGGGCTTAATCAACACAAATCTTGAGTTTTTGGGTGGGAAGTCTTGAAGGTTTTATGTTCAATCCAAATAAATTTGTAAACACAAATAAGTTATCTTCATCATTTTGTGTTTGGAAAACATGAAGTAATTGTGTGTAACCCTGCATTTTTACAGTGCATAGTGTCTATCATGTGAAAGTTATATGAAAATCATGTGAAAGTTAGATGAAATCTTTCTACTGGCCTTTTTACGAAATATAAGAAAAATACTGTGACTAAGAATTAAATAATGTGAGATTTGATTTTGTTGTTTTAATTAAAAAATTATATTAATAAACACAACAAATTTTATTTTTACCATAAAGTCGGTTAATTTATAATTGAGTACATGAGCCCCCAGTAAAGTACACTTAAAGTACAATATTTCTAATAGCAATCTGCATTATCAGTTTCACTGCCTAGATCTTTTTCCCAAACATTTTTCTGGCTAAAGAGGACAAACATGTGTCAGACAAAGTAATAATAATAATAATAAAGTTAACTCTTTATTAAAAGTTAAGATCACAATTTGTTCCATGCGTGTGAACTCGAATCGCAGAAGAGAAATGTCATGTACTTTGTGTACACAGAGAAACCACAAAACATGTGGCTTAATCATACTACTCAAGTGCACATCATGCAAAAACTCCCATTGTAGCTGCAGATTTAATATCTTATTTAAATTTTCAGCATTTCTTTTAATGAAAAATGTGCAAGTACACAGAATTCAAGCAAGTATTAGGATTTAACAACACAGTTTTTTTTAGCAGGGACTTATCTAAAGCCGTTGATTAGCTACTGTGTTTATATGCTTAACTCCGAGTATCAGTTCCACTACCTAGATCCTTTCCCCAAACATTTTTCCGGCTTTCTAAAGAGGAAAAATAATACTTGTGAACTCAATTCCCAGTTTGCCATTATCGGACAAAGATTTTAAAAAGTTACAATCAAAGTTATTTTTAAAAAATGGATTTGTGGTATTTAATATTCCAGTCTAAAAGGCCTATGTTAATAGAATAAGGGTTTAAGCACTTATTAAAGGTGATTTATGGACACTTATTAAAGGTGATGTCAAACATAAATGAAACCCATAAAGTGTAAAACATTTTGTCCAATAGTTTAATAAAAAATAAAACTTTTTGTGTACGGTTTTTGGTTTTAAAGAATTGTCACTTCGAATTACTTTCTGTGTACACAGAGAAACCACAAAACATGTGGCTCAATCATACTGCTCGAGTGCAAGTTATGCAAAAACTCCCATTGTATCTGCAGAATTAATATAATTACATTTCTCAGCTTTTCTTTTAATGAAAAATGTGCAAGTGCACAGAATTCAAGCAAGCATTAACATTTAACAACACTCATTTTTTAGCAGTGACTAATCTAATGCCTTTGATTAGCTCCTGTGTTCATATGCTTAACACTGAGTATTTGCATAGCACAGTTTTGCTTCAAATTAGTTTGAGGCTTGTTTTATAATGCGTTCTGTTCAGTTAATGCTGCTAGAATTTCAGTTTGGTTCATGCTCATATTTTTCATTCTCTTTTTTGTTAGATTTAAAGGATTTTATGAAGTGAGGGGAAAAATAAATGTCTGAATACATTTCAAGGTAACACTATAAAAACTACACATTATGAACAATTTATTAAGCATTTTTCATTCTCTTTTTTGTTAGATTTAAAGGATTTTATGAAGTGAGGGGAAAAATAAATGTCTGAATACATTTCAAGGTAACACTATAAAAACTACACATTATGAACCATTTATTAAGCATTAGCAAATGGTGAATACATTATCCGTTAAGCTTTAACTCTACATTAACAGATTTTTTAGTTAGCAGTTAGTTTAAAACTGCAGATACAAGTGCTCTATTCTTGACTTATAAGCACATATATAATGTGATTAATGATTTTCATGACTAAATTATTGCATAATTTACAAATCAGTTATTAGAGAGAAGTTTCTGTTTTGTTTTTTTAAACAACTAAACAACTCTTAAATACCACTGATTTATAAATAATGCAATACTTAATTTAGTATGAACAATTAATCAGTAACAAAGCAGAAAGTAGCAATTATTAAGTCATGAATAGAGCATTTATATGAAGTTATAAACTGCTTATTAACATCTATTAATGTAGACATAGTGCCTAACAAATAGTACACTCACTATTTGCCAATGCTTAATAGATTATTTATAGTGTGTTGTAATTATTAAGTGTTACCCATTTCAATTCAACTTTCTGAATTATATAAAGTCTGATTTATACACCAATGTATAAACATTACATTATATATTTATTTTAACTTCATGAAATTGATCTTGTTTTCCAGAAAGTATGGAAAACCACTTTTAAGAAACATACATTTTAATTTATTAGCACAAAACATGTCTTGAAATTCATTAATTTAGACAGTTGAATTGTAAAGATCCTACTCATGATGTTCATTTTCTTAATACATTGTAGATTTTTCTTGTGCAACAAAAAAGGCATTCAGGCAGATAGAGACAATAAGAAAAAGGATTCACTTTTGACTGCTTTTAAAAAAGCAATAAAGTCATGTGTGTGTGCGTTCCTGTGCATTTTACAGAGCTGCTTGAAAGACCAAGACAGACCTAAAAACAAATTGAAAACAAACTGCCTAAATTAACACGCGGCTCAGTGAATGATTGGCTGAGAGTGAGTGCGAGAGAGGAAATCATTTCAAGTCTATTGGCAATTTTTGTGTTTTGATTTTTCCCTCACACCTTCCTTCCTTCCTTTAATTCATTTTCTGGATATCTTCATGGACACCATGCTTCGGCTGCAATAATAAATATAGTTATTCAATCATCATTAGTCTCTGTGCTGTTGTTTTCTCTTACGGCTATCTATTAGAAAAAATAAATGGATGCAGTTTGTGTAATGTGTCGTGACGTGCAGCTCAAAGCGTCCCCAATTTTTACAGTCTTCATTCTTCGTAATGATTATGCAATCAACATCTGTCCAGGAGAGAGAGAAGGGGGATCAATGCATCAGCTGTTTTGTAACATTTACTTTTTTTTAGTTATCTCTTTCCCGCTCAATTTAACCTGTGCCTCGCTAAGGTGCCAAATGGATCCATTTCAACCATGTGCATTTCTTTCTCCAGACGTGTTGAGCGAGTTCTTCTTCCCAGACGTCCAGAGCAGTGTTACACAGGGAGGTCTACTCTATCAGGGAAGATGTTTGAAGACCCTGCGAGAGACGACGTCCTCCGTTTATTATGTAACAAAAGTATCAGGTTCATGTTTTCAGTTTCCTGAGCCGAGCGTGTGGTTTAAATGTCTGGATTCTATTGACAGCATGTTATGTACGATAGTGTTTTTATATAATTTCATCATAATTTTCTCCAATAAAAGAGAGAAAAAACAACTTTGTGTGCAGTGCGGTGTATATAACTCATTCATAATATTGCATGGAGCTTATTATGTAATCTGTTTGTTGTTAGAATCCCCATTCATCTCATCTGTAGAAGTGTATGCGGTTTGAAATGTGCCAGCTTTGCTCTTGAGTGACTTATTACTTTGGAGCTGGAGGAAACGCCGCTGGACCCTTCGCTTGCAAATATTCTGTTGCCATGAAAGGAAATAGATAGATCAATTTTGTGTTTTAAAAATAAAAATAAAAATAAAAAATAACTCCTGGTTTGCAGTGATTATATTAAAGTGTAAAGGTAATTTTACACATGAATATAAGACTGTATGTTTAAACTGCCAATATTTTTTTTTCTTTAGCGAATTCTAAAATGTTTGTGTACATACATGTATCATTTTAAGGAATGTCTTAATGGAATCCAAGACTTGGGACGAGATGAGGCAAACCATCGAGATCTGTGAGGACAACACTTAATACACAAATACACTTAATAAACATACACATGGATGTCACCTATAATTGCAGGTAAACTACTTATATATAATAACTTTAATTGTTAAAAGCATTTAGTTACTAGTTAATTAGTTATTAGTAATTAATAAAGTTATGGTAACTAATAACCTTAGCTTTTCCAATTTGATTGTGATGCAATGATGTCACTCTTTTGTAAAGATGCTTTGAAACAATAACTATTGTGAAAAGCACTATACAAAAAAACTTGAATTGAATTCAGTGTCTGCATCCGCATGGAAATTGTGTTAAAATGGTTTAATACATATGCCATGCTTATATGTGGTACTGTAAACAGCCAGGGGATACACTAAAATAGCAGAAGAATGCAGTGAGTGCATATAGAATAATAATTTTTCAGTACACTAAGTACAGAATTAGACACAAGATGGTGATGTAGTTAAAAATATTGAAATAGCCATCAAAGTAATACAGTTCCTGTGTAATCTGCCATTGTTGTTACCAGTTGTGAAGTGTGCAGGGTTCCTTCTCCTGGCTGCATGGCATTTTTTTTTTTTTTAAACTTGCGGTTTTACAATTTACACAGCTACGTGCCGGGTGGCGTTTTGAGATTTACCCACTCTGTAAACTGTTATTCAAAAAGTTCATTTCAAGGCACCTACAAACTGGAGTTATGTGGATGAAAAGCAGAAGCGATATTAAAAATTCTGCCATGTGGATGGGTCCAAAGTCTCAGATTTCCCCAGAATATATAGTTAAAGTCAGAATTATTAGCCCCCCCTTTGATTTTTTTTTTTCTTTTTAAAATTTTTTCCAAATGATGTTTAATAGAGTCTGATAATATTTTTTTTCTTCTGGAAAAAAGTCTTATTTGTTTTATTTCAGCTAGAATAAAAGCAGTTTTTTTTTTTTTTATAAACCATTTTGTCCAAATTATTAGCCCCTTTAAGCTAATTTTTTTTCCTGACTGTCTGCAGAACAAACCATCGTTGTACAATAACTTGCCTAATTACCCTAACCTGCCAAGTTATCTTAGTTAGCCTAGTTAAGCCTTTAAATGTCACTTAAAGCTGCATATAAATCTCTTGAAAAATATCATCATGGCAAAGATAAAATAAATCAGTTATTAGAAATAAGTTATTAAAACTTTGTTTTAAATATGTGTTTAAAATAATCTCTCCCTTAAACAGAAATTGGGGAAAAAAATAAACAGGGCTAAGAATTTAGGGGGGCTAACAATTCTGACTTCAACTGTATATGTAAAGCCCAATACATCTGACAAACCATGTATTGTGTTATGTTATAAATGTTCTCTTTTTAAACTGAATCAAAAAACATTGATTTTTGACATTGGTTATTTAAATGCAAATAAGCACATTTTCCACGCCCCCTTTCAGAAGAGGGCGGTGCCTTCTGCAACAACAAAGAAAACATCTTGATGCAATTTATAGCCTTGTTAGTTTAAATTCCTGATTTGTAGTCTTCTGCATGAAGAGCTTTCGTTAAGGCTGCCTGTCAGATGGCACGCTGTGGGAATATTAAAGTGCTCTTTTCTGTCAGATGTCAAATGCATACAAGTTTATCTCAGAAAACACTAATTGCAAGTCAATTCACTGTATTGGCATGACACACTAACGGTCAAAAATTTGGGGCCAGTTTTGCTTTTCCCGATATATATATATATATATATATATATATATATATATATATATATATATATATATATATATATATATATATATATATATATATATATATAATTTTTTTTTCAATCAAGGTTAATCAAGGTGGCATCTTTCTTATTGTGTGTTGTTTCAAATGAAAATATTAATTCAGTCATTATTGATTTTATTACTGTTACCATTAATCATAATAATAATTAATATTAGAGTGATTTCTAAAGGATCATGTGACTCTGAAGACTGGAGTAATGTGGCTGAAAATCATCTTTAAAATAACTGTAATAAATGATTTAATTAATTGAGAAACTATGAACACTTATTTTATAGTACAATAACATTTCACAATTGTATATAAAAAATCTGTATTTTTGATGAAATAACTGCAGCCTTGGTGAGCAGGAGAAACTTAATCTAAGACATTTAAAAATCAGGGATATAGCAAGCGAGGCATTCTAGGGAGTTCAGAAACTGTAATAGAGAGTAATTCCCTTTGGAGTGATTTTGTGCTTTATAACTTTTCAGATGTTCTTAATGCTCAAATGGCAACATTACGCACGTATAGGTGAAAGTTTAAGGAGACCTTTTTCAAATAGTTGACTTCTCTTTTAATACGCACAAACGTTTTAGTTTTTGTCAATGAGAAAATATTCTTATTGCAGTTAGAGTTTGCAGTCACGGCATTGTAAAGCCTTGACAACCCCCCTAAACTCGGTCCTATGTGGCAAGAGATTTAGGAGATGTATCTTACCTCCCGCTTTTTGAACTGTTTCCAGTCGTGCTGTCCGAAGTAATCAATAGTGAGGGTTTCCTGTGCTCAAAAGTTTTTGATACTCATCCAAGCAGATAAACAAAGTACATGCGCTTTAAACAGTCTATGCGTGTAAGTCCTGTCACATCTTTCTTGTATCAGAACTCCACTGTAGGCAATTATCTTAATGAGTACACAGCTCAAAACATTCTCTGGGATGGATTACACTCGTCTCATCTGCGCATCTGAATGTTACTATCCATGAAACAATCAGTTATAGCTCGAGGCTACAATTCAGTAAAGCACAAATTTGTATTCACTATTGTATGTCACCTACTAAATTACATGTATGCATGTCTATACACACACATTTTTTCCCCCAGAAATAATGCAATCTTCATGCAAAAATTAAAGAAGGTTTATTTATTAGGTGTTTAAACACCGTTGTGTGGCAACAGTGTGTGTAAATATAGCCAGCCTTTAATGATAAAAAGTAATAATTTAAATTTTTATTGAAAATTTATCAATGAGATCCAATGATGGATTCTTTATAAACTGAAGCACCAATGAAGACATTGCAAAGCTCATTGTTACCAACCAACTACACAGGAATATCAAAGTTGTAACACTCATCTATCATCAATATTTCCACAATGTTTGTGTTGGGTCACATCAGCTACTCCCAGGGGAAAATACAGGCCATCAAAAGTATCCAGGCTTCCTCTACCCCAAGGAAGGATCCCGGACGAGCCCCCAAATTATGTTACACCCTGTGTGGCTCGAAGGGTGAAAAAGGGCTTAACATAATTGACAACCCAATATTTTAAGAATTCCCCTGAGACGTTAGCTGCTATGAAGCGACAGACAACGATGTGGCAAAAAAGTGGTTCGCTTTATTTCAATAAAGATTAAGAAAAAGAATATTTAAATCACCCAAAATATATTTACAAATGTGTACAATAAATGCAAAAAGTAGTTAACAAGCATACCTGATAGAGGGAAGGAAAATAAACGGTGCCAAATCAAAGAAAATAACAAATTAAACACCCGCTAAATAGGAAATAGAAATATGTAAATAGAAATAAAAAGATCTTGGGCGTCACACGCCCCTTACTCAACTGCACCCACTGGAACAAACATACACAGAGTAGCACCCTTATCTGATCTAGTGGATTCACAGAGAATCAACTATGTGTGTGTAAAAATGTAAGTCACATGATGTACTCCACTTTCACTTCCATTTTAGTATATTTAAGCAGGTTTAGTGTGGGACGTTTTGAATAGATGTACAACTCACAAAAACTCTTTAAAGCGAACCAGAGAACAAGACAGGCACAAATGTCACACAGAAAAACACAGCAGCAACGAGCTACAAGGATTCCCCTCTAACCTGGTCCGAGTAGTCACTGGAGTGCTTAAATAACTCCAATTCTCTTCTGATTGGTCCACTTGTGAGAACTCGTGCCAACCAATTGGAACACCTAGATTTCAGAAGAACAGCAGACAGCAAATAAAAACAGAAAGGGGAGGAGGGAACAAAAGAGCAACACCAACCCAAACATGTAACAATCACACTTAATAAAAACAACTTACAGAAACTTTTTGATTGACATTTTCCCTTTGTTTGTGTCATCAGAGGAGGAAAGCCCCACACATTAGTGACTATAGTTCTCCCTCATTAGCATAAACAGTCCTGATTGAGAAGCGGCCATCCGAGTTTTCACCTGTCAGCCACAAAGAAAAATTATAAAGCTTCGCCCTCTTTTGAAAAGAGCACAATCTCATTTGAAGTTAAAAAGACTATTAAAGACATTATTTTGGAGTAATTTGAGTTTACATATAAATCCTAGGGATATCAGAGACTTATTTTATGTTTTGTAGAAAGGGGGTTAATAAGTCCTCTTTTAACCCTTTTACACTTGAGTTTTAAATACTCCAGCTGACCCTCCAGCATCATGTGACCGCTACTTGAAATGTATTGCGTTATAATTATAAAGTTTCCTTGGTGACGCTTCTAGATTATCAAGACTCAACAGCCCCAATGGTCTGTATATATTGCTTTTTTGTTTCTTTTTGCCCTTTTCTGTAAGTATTG